CAAGTGACTCTGTACTCCCCTTCCGGGTTAGAGGATAAATAGTGTTCAAGGATACAGAAATTCCTTGAGGAAGAGAATACCCTTATTGGAAATATTTTCAGAAAGCAAGTTCCTACAGAAAAGAGGGTCCCAGAGTGTAGGGTCCGAAAGTCAAGGAGGCCCAATATCCAGGGACCCATCCAGTTGTGCGATCAGCTAACCCCCCACCCCCCTTCCACCACCACATTTGTAGAAGTGTGGGCCACCCCTAATGCTGAAGGCTTGCCAGAGGTGTTAGCAGATCTCAGATTCTGAACCTATGGCATGAGTGGGAGTTAGCAGTACATACTTGCAGCTTCTGTAAGTCTATGGCAGAAGAGGGACAGGACTCCGTTGACCTTTCCGCAGGTCTCCTTAGCTCTAGTAGTAGAATACTGTGGCTGCCCAAGGTGTTACGAATGACTGTGCAAAAGCCAGTCCAAAGACATGACATCCCTTGAAGGGAAGACAATTCAGTTATTCCATGGACCTCTAGCCAGAGTGCCCAGTGCATTTGTACTGACAACAGTCCTATGTAGGACACAAGTTCAGATGCTTGTAATAAGCCATCCTAGCCAAAGCATACAGCTTCAGAGATTTGCTTGAACCATTCCAAAACATGGGGACCTACACCAGTGGTGGAAGAATTCTAAGGAATTTGATCTGTCAAACCATGTCAGAATGAATTAAGCTGGCCATACATCAATAGATTTTTTTTCTATCAGTCTATGGTCAGATGGAAAAAGTGCAACAGATTCCTCAATCTAAGTTAAACTGTGTGGATGGAGGAATCGTCCACTGGGCCAAGCTTCAGTATCTTGCTAGTCTGCCCTGCTGGCTATCATAATGCCTGCGTTCAATCAGATTGTTCAGGTATTTTAAAAGTGAGCAGGGCCGACTAGCAAGATACTGAAGCTTGGCCCAGCGGGAGATTCTTCCATCCACACAATTTAGCGTAGATGGAGGAATATGTTGCACTTTTTACATCTGGCCATAGGCGGATAGAAAAACAAAAAAATCTATCTAGGTGTATGGCCAGCTTTAGAGTTGCCCCCAACACAGGATGGGGGCCAAAACCAGGTAACTCAGAACTGGGATCTGAGAAGGGAATTTAACTTCCGATCAGTGAAGTCCCCAACAATAAGTATTCCTTCGAACTTGCTAGTGGCATCTCCGGAGCATCAACATATAGGCACTGACCACCTACGGTATTAGTGGAGCCCTTCTTCTCAGGCACAGTCTGCATGTAAAGCCCATGTATATCTGCTATGTAAATCCCATGCATACAGCGGGTGTAACAAAATATCATTGCAGTCATAGGAGCTCCTAAAGACCCAAAGCTTATAACGGGCTAATCCTCCAAAAGCTAGGCGATATGCACCAATCAGTAAAATGTGAAAAAATTATTTGTATATCAGCCAACTGCAGGAGGAGACATAGGTGACCAGAAAATAAACAAACAGTCAGAAGAGGCTGTTTTTCAAACTGGAAAAGACAACAAGGGCTGCAGAACTGATTTGGAGAGAAGGGTCAGAGAGACTCCGCTGGGGATTGTGCCGGAGCGTGCTTGCAACACCTATGGGCAAAATGATTAAGTAGCTGGCAACAAACAACAACCAGGAAGACCCCAGCAGAGACAGAAGTCCCTGTGATAATGGGGATGGCCTTGGTGCCACTCGACAGAGGTATAAAAAAAAAAAAGGCTCCACAGATGAGGACCCTGTAACCACAGGGGTCTCAGATTACAGGCAGTTGTTCCATTTGGGGATACCTGGTAAATGTCCCCAGGAACCATTAGGGGAGCATGAGCTGAGGTCACCCATAGCAGCAGGACTGTCCTCTGGGCTTTTTTTGAGAAGAAAAGTTGAGCTGTGTGGCAGTCAACGGCAAGGCCTCAAGTACAGATTAACCAGGGCAGCTGGAGCAGATGAGGGTTTCAGGTGGCCAAAAGTGACTAAGTCACTGTAGGTGGGCAGTAGAACAAAAGTGAAGACCAAAGATACACTCGGTGATTCAGTAGTAGTAACGGGAGCAGCAACAGGATGGTGCTTCCTGCAGGCTGAATGGGGGGTGAATGATAAACATCAGTGCTCAATCCCTCAGCAATCATCCAGTCCAACAGGGTCCATGTACTGTTGCTGATGCTGAGGATAAACCGATTTGGATATCCGCTATGAAAAGACCAGCTTAAGCAACAGTGTGTAAGTCTTTAATGAAGTCATGTAAAGGAAACAAAGTTATCAGTGGTGTATTACGATAGTAAACTATAGTTGGATGCTTTTTCCTCAGCTATGCGCAAAAAAAAAAATATATGTCTAACCTCCTAGAACAGTAGCAAAACACTGAAGCATGATGGTCAGAGGGCAGGGTTATACAGGGGCTGGTCTTCAAAAAAAAATTCTGCTTGAATGGGGCAGGATGGGGCAGTATAACCACACAGTTTCAGAATTCCTGAATTCCCATGTCTGAGTGGATGATAAAGAAAAATAATTTCAAATGGTATGGTTAATGTGTTGTTGGGCATGTTAAATAAGTACAGTAAATTTATTCATTAAAGTACTGTACACGTATTACATTTCACACATAGGAAAGAATCACCCACTTTATTCAGAGCGTAAAATTTTAAAATAAGCAGGCATTGTTGGACGTTGACAATAACCTCCCAATCTTGTATGCTTTATTAGGTTTAAAAGCTATAAATTCGCGATGATTGAAACTGCAGTCTCTTAGAAAACTTAATTCCCTAGAATATGCTAGTAACTTTATGCAATAAAATAAAAAAAAAAAACAATCTCTCACATACACAGTCAGATGAATGCAGAGGTTAAGTCCAGATGGAATCACTCATTGCTGGTGGTCCCCTATAGGTCCAATTGCAGTGGGTGAGTAAATAAAAAATAAAAAACACACATTTCAAGCCTCAATTGTGTGCACTGGCCAAGACAGTCCACAGGATACACTTTACAGGTCTTTAATAAGGTGTAACTATAAATTATGGCCCCAGAATTATTCCCCTCACTGTAGTACATGTATTTTGCGCATGGAAATGGGAGAAGTAGTTTTTAAACCTTTAATTTTCCCTCTCAATTTTATTGCTGTCACAATCCCCCTATGTGATAGTCAAAGTGACAGGTACTCTATTAGACACCTAATGTCACCACCTGCACTCTGCTTATGCAGATAGCATATCATGGACTGTTTGTTCCATTTCCCCAGTTAGAGTCCCCAGGGGTTTCATAGCGCTAAACCCAAAAGTGTTCAGAGCTTTATGGTACACATGATCCATTTTCAAGGGCTGTCTGTCCTAACAAAGGGTTAAAGTTCTTTAAGCCTGAGTTGTGCATTGTATGGTCCCTACTTTAGTCCCTTATCTGCGCATCGCAATCTAGTTTAAGCAATTGAAGTTGCTGGTATATTTCTGCTCCAAAGAAACATTTTTAAATGATAACCTACAGAAACATATGTTCTGATGAAAAATAGTTTTATACCAGTACCTTGCAATCCAAACAAAAAACAAAAGTTCCATTTTCAGGTTTAAAATGACATGTATAAAAACATCTTGCTCAAGACACATTAGGCATCAGCAACAGTGACTAAACAATGCTGGCTCTAAATGCAGAAGCGCTGCGCAAACTGTTGGCGCTATATAAATACTATGTAATAATAATAATGCAGGAATAAAGAACCAAAAAGGTTAGGATTCTAATTCACACTGTCATGCCATCCCTTAAAAGTGGACCTTTACCCCCTTTGACTAAAAATCACATCAGCTCTGCATGCTGAAATTAAATCTTACATTAGCTAAACTAACATATTTTTACTTTACTTACAATTTATTTTTTCACTACTTCCTGGACCACTGTCACAAATGATGTAATGTGCCCAAGCATTGCACCCTGGGAAGATTACATCAGCAATGTGTTGCTGGGAAATCTCATGAGATCTCAGGGAAAGGCATTTTCCTCCCCTGAAATTATGTGCATGGTCATATGTCCTTGTCACATGTGCCAGAGTTCTAGGAAGTAAAAGGGAGATCTAGTTAGTTGCCCTTAGTTAACATGGTCACTGTCAGAAGACTGGGGAAGAAAAGGAAAAAAAAAAGGGTATGCAAAAATAAAAAGCCTGCAATTACCTAGAAGTATCCGTTTGTAGATTACAAATACATTTCTAAGGGTGCCTTTGTCATTTTAAAGATATGGGTAAAGTTCCACTAAGTGCTAGATTGATGCAAATAGAAGCATTCTTTTAAACTATGCAAAGCCTATTTGGTGGAATACATCGGCACAGCCTTTTATGTACTTGTCACCACAATCATCAAATCTTAATCAATCATGCTCTAGGAAGGAAGCACCTGTAACCTGTAGGGTCAGAGAAACATACCTTACAAGTCAGTTGCATCGTTACGAAAAACTACAAAAAAGTTGAACATTCCCATTAAATCTTAAAATCCTGACTGTTAAAATGCCATAAGGTGAGGAGCCAATAGGATAAAAGCCAAAGACATGCGTGCTAATAGAGGATTCTTGCGAATTATAAATAAAACAGAGCTATATGAAGTGAAAATAATTTTATAATGATGTCAATGGACTGACAAACATTTTGAAAATTAAATGTTGCCTTGCTGAGTTCACGTTTTACTTGCCATTAAAAACAATCTGGTGGATTCCAAACTAACGAGTATTGTACATGCACAAGCTTACAGTCAGGCACACCAAGTTTTTTGTCATTTTGATAAAGCATTAAATGTGCCTTTTCCAATGAGAGATTCATTAACAGTTGTCTAGGGACACTGCTAAAATTCTTCTCTAAAACAGAAATAATTTATTTTCCTCAACATTCTGTATATACAGTGGCCGGTTTACCCCACAAAACAAAGCAAAAGAAATCTTACCAGATATTTGTTCTTCAAACTGTATGAGGTCACCAAACTCTTGGAGGACTGGATCAGGATGCAACTGAGGAGAAGGAAGGCAAGAAGGAACTGGACCACCTAAGAGATCAACAGGTGATGTGAGGCACAGGAGTTCCCTTTCCATCTGGTGAGAAACTGGTAAAGAAAAAAAAAAAAATTTGAACACAAACTGGCTATTATTCTGGATGTTGCAAAAGTTACACCATTTATATTTTACCATTGTTAAAGGGACACTAAACTCAGGAGTTAATTCTTAAAAATGCATTCAAGTACCTTAACTATTAAAAAAAAAGTTTTATCTTATTTGTGCATCACTCCGCTGTTGATCCTCAAATCATCCTTGAATTCATATGGACATAGTCCTTCCTTCTGGAGGGTGGCTACTATTGTCCCCCATGTTCCCTATGTGTGTTGTATAGCAGTCAGTGCTCCAAACTCACTCACGTGATGGACTGCAATCTCATGTTTCATTTACCAATTTGTATTGTTATGATCTATCACAAGAGTGAGCCTGGAGCGGTGACCAGATCTACGGCGATGTACAGTGATGTACAAATTTAATTTTTGTTAATAGTTGTGGTACTTGAATGCATTTCTAAGATTTAACTCCTGAATTTAGGGTCACTAAGTTCATAAAAGACTGATCTTTGAAGGAAATTTGTACTAGAGAAGGATGATGCCTGTCTGCAATTGCCAACGTATGCAAACATTTATTTTTGTACTCTCCCTAAAATTTTCTCCCAGTCGTTTGACAGTACATTCTCCTGCTGCTTGCTACTCCCAGGCTTGCGCGGTATACATAGGATGACAGTAAACCAGTCAAAAGCCTCCAGGAAACACATTTTGTTGTACAACAGATGAACAAATGCAGTGGGTGGGATCAGACTTCCCAAATGAACTAGAGAAATATAGGATTTTTGACTTGTAAAATCCTTTTCTTGGAGTACAGTACATGACACAGGCTCAGACCATGGAATGTCCCCAGGTAATACAACTAAGGCATGGTGAACACAGCAAACAATGCCAGCAGGCCCACAAGAAGCAACAATGAACCCCATCCCAAACTCAAAGTGCAACCTGAAGTACCTTGTGGCAGAATCTGGCAGCACCAGAGGCCTGAACGCTTCTGCTGCCACCAGATAGTACCTTACAAATGTATGAACCGAAAATCAAATGGCAGTGTTAAAAATCTGAGAAACAGGCGTTTAGTACTGAAAAGGCCCAAGAGGCACAGATGGACCTACTGCAGTAACCTTTAACCAAAGTAGAAATCCGATCCTTAAAATGTATAAGCTTTACTAATCACCTGCCTGATCCACCTAGCTATGGTGGAACAAAATACTGCATGCGACTTGTAGGAGCCCTCAGGGAAATTAAAATTTTAAAAAAGGGGTTTCAGGTTTCTGGATACACAGCTGCTGAAAGATACACCTACACTGTCCGCACCACATCTAAGCAGCGCAAATAAACCTCTTTGGGATGCTTTGGAGCAGAAGAAAGAAAAGGCAGGATGATGTCCTGAATAAGGTGGAAGAGTGGAACCACATTGCGAAGAGGCTTCAGGACTATATTATCTCTGTAGAAGGACGTGAACTCTACAGGATAAAGCCACCAATTCCAAAACAAATCTTGATAGTCACCAGAAAAACCACCTTAGGAGTAAGCCCGAAGGAAATATATAATGTTTGTAGGAAGGCTTCTATAGTGATGACAAAATCTGATTATGATCCCATGGCAACACCAGGGGGAAATAAATGAGGGGAGCAACACTAGTAGTACTGTAAGGAAGCTGGAATGGGTCCAGTTTCTGGAGGACTGATGGAGCCAAAAGGAGTAACCCTTGTGCCATGCATTTGGTCCAAACCGCAAGCATCGGGCAAAACATTAATCAGCACCACAGTCGTTTGCATGGCCAACTACAGTATAAATGAGTACATCCCAACAGATTTGTCGGAAAACCTTTACTTTCCCTTCAGAATCAACACTTTCTACAAAAAACTCCCACAAATGCGGGCCATTGATTACAACCAAGATTTGTTAATTTGCACACACAAAAAAGTATTTTTCATAACAAATTCATTCAAGACCATGTTGCAAAAATAAATACACCCCAATGAAAGTCATTAGGAGCAGAGCTAAATTTTAGACAACAAAATCCTAATAAGAATTCAACTACAGATGAGTAATAATCATTTTTCATTAAAACAGGTGTCCAGCAGACAGTTCATTATAAAAGGGCGTTACTTAACAAAGAAAACCCCTTCCCGTTTCATACTGTCAGCAATGGCACCACATGGAAGAGAAATGTCACAAGGCCTAAGAAAATAATTTCTTTACACAAGAAAGGTGAAGGCTACACGATGATCATCAAAGCTTTACTTATTAGTCAGAATACTGTAGCAAAAGTGATTACAAAAATGTAACAAAGATGGAACTACAACCATATTGCAGAGCCGTCCACGGGAGCGAACACATCGACAGGAGTGTCTTCTAATGAGAAGGGTTGAAGAAAATTGCCATGCAAGTTCACTGCAGTTAGCTAAAAGAGTAAAAAGCCAAACTGGGGTGATCGTTTCCTGTGACAATACAGCATACACTGCAGAGGAATGGCATGCATGGGTGTCAACGCAGGAAGCTTCTCCTAAAGCCCATGCACAAAAAAAGCCTGCCTAATATTTGCCAGGGCCCATGCTGAAAAAGACTACTGGGACTCTGTACTCCTCACCTTTGCGACACCATACAATTTTTAAGCCATCAGTTCCAAAAACATTGATCTTGGTCACATCACTTCAGAGTACAAAGAAAAATGCATGGTGCCTACAATGAAACATGGTGGTGGCAGTGTCCTTCTGTGGGGCTGCACGAGTGCTGCTGGTGATGAGCTAAACTTTATTTTAATCGAAATTTTGGAAATTGTTCTTGTGTTCAATGAGATAATGATTCAAATCTTAGTGTTCAAAGGGGTGTACTCATTTATGCTGGGGTGTGTGTGTGTGTGTGTGTGTGTGTAACTCCAAGATTGTCTGGTGGAAGTTTTCACCAGTGCCGTTAGAATGGTCAATCACCTGTGGAGCAGACTTACCCAGGTGAAGTTGCAATCCATTTGAAAAACTCACCGGAGCAGGGAAGAGAAAAAATGGTGAACTCAAGGCAAGGATCTCTATATGCAGCTTCTTATCACTGCAATAAAGGTCATGGCATATCAGATTATTTGTTTCCTCTGCATATTCCAATACATAGAGCCTTATCAGGTTTAACCCTTGTGGGAAAGCAAGGCTCTTGGAATATAAAGGGCAAAATATAACAGCGTAGCACAATTGGTATGAATCGCCCCAGATTGTCTGGAGATTTCCACCAGTCCAGACAGCAAGGTCATTCACATGTGGAGCAGCCTCACCCAGGTGAAATTGAAAAACAAAACAAGACTGCCAGGATTCATCCCCAGCACCCTGTGGAGCCAGATCCTGTATATACGAGAGCTATAACCATAGACTCTCTCCCATGCATGCCACTCTCAGGAGATACACAGATCTGGCAGAAAGGCTTGAACCAGGATATAACCAATTTGTTAATGCAGGAAGCCCATCTTGGGTTGTGTTAGCTTCTGCTGGCAGGGGCTTATCCTCTGAGGCCTATACTTACACCAAAAAAGGCGAAGGACTCGGGTGCAGCTTAGTCTCAGGTTTGGCAGGCAAGTGGAGAGAGACCCACTGAGAGGTGCATAAACCAAGCCAAGTTTCCTTTGCCCCACCGAAACAGGCCCCCAAAGGATTAAGACTACAGGTAAGGGGGACTTGTCAACTAAAGACCCGCCTACCTTGGAGCTACCACCTTGAACCCCCAGAATAGGAGTAGCAGCCTGTGAGGAAGAGTCCGACTGCGTGGCACATCCTTTGCCAGCTGGACTTGCGCCCCTGCCCCACTCCTGGTGCCCCTCCTTGCTGGTGTGGATTGCTGACAAGGCGCAGTATTAATGTCCTGCTGTGACCCAGCTCTGCTGCTGGCCGGACAGCTCAATAGGTCATCTGTCAATTCCTCTAGCAGGACACTCCGGGGGACTCAACTAGTCACTATGCCAACGAGGATGGTTGCCAACTCCAGGTCGGCCGGAGGAAACAAATACTGGAGGTGGTTAGGAGGGATTGCCCTTTTTATTTTAATTGTGGATGATGTGTTTCCTGTTCCATCTTCTCAGGTGCTGTCCTGGAAGATGACTTGTGAAATAACTATTCTTCAACCTGCAAAACATTCAAAAGTAGTCCCAAATAATTAGGTGCGAGCAAGTTCACCTAAAAAAGGGGTCCACATGCTATAACAACCCTCAAACGCTGCAGCTACTACAGTGTAATACACGATCACTGTGGCCCTGTTAGGGACCATAATATATGCATGTATATGCATGCACGCAATATATTGTTTTTTACATTGTTTAGAGCTTAGCTTTAAAGCCTCAGTGGTACCGAGCAGAATAGAAAAAAAAGGAGAAAATTATTGGGCGGAGCTAGCAGTGACAGCTCGGCCCAACTGTTTTCTATTGGACGGGACCAGCTGTCATTACAATGAGAGCTTGTCGGAGCCGGCTGTGATATCAAAGCCAGCTCTGAAACTCTTGACAGTTCAGCGTCCCCTGGTCACTAGGTAACCAGAAGATAGTAAACTGTCATTACACACTGAGAACTCGGCAGAGCCGCCCTGATATCACAGCGGCTCCACCGCGTTCTCAGTGTAATGACAGATCAGCGTCCCTGGTAACCTGGGGCGCTGATCTGTCTCCGCATGCAAGTGGCCGGAGCCAGCCGTGAGATGACAGCTGGCTCCGCCAAGCTGTCAGTAGCATGTTGTCGGCCGGCCATTCGGCCAGCTTTGGCTTTCACCTCGGCTCACTCGAGCCGAAGCATATGCCTTCGGCTCGACTGAGCCGCTCGGCCAACTTCGGGAGCTGTACGGGCTATAGTGAATAGCCTGTACAGCAGCCCTTCGGTTCTACTGAACTGAAGGGGTCCTGGGGCCGAAGGATCAGCCGAAGCTACGGCTAGATCCTTCAGCAGCTTTGTGAATAACCCTCATAGTGCTATGTGTCCCAAGTTCTGATTTACATCACTTCCTGTTCATTCATGAATTTCTGAATGGGGAATGGGGCTTCTCACCATTCATAAACCGCTTGATAGTAAATATCTTGCCTCTGTACTGAGTGCTTCCCATTCATTGAGTGCTGAGGCTGCAGAAAAAAAATATTGGAGGACTCTGTGTCCTCAATTTCTTTTTCTATTTCAAAAGGAAAATGTCAGGGGTCTGTTTAGACCCCAGATATTTCACCGTAGCCCCACCCAAACAGTAAAACAAAAAATGTAAAAAAAAAAAAAAAATTAAAAAAACGTGTTAAAAAAAAACAAAACAAAAAAAAAAAAGCACAACCCCCTCCCTCCACATAACATACACATATTCTAATGTATGCCATGCACATGCGCTGCAGTGCGTTGTTAGAACGCATCACAGTGCATGATTTGTTTAATTTTTTTCTTCTTTAAAAAAAAAAAACTTTAACTGTGGCAGCGCATGGCAAAGCTTTGTGACGCATTGCCGTGCGTTGTGATACTTGTGTTGCAATTAAACGCCTGTATCATTTTATCACAACATAAAACACCAACACAGCGTAAAAATAATTTTTAACATAAGTCGCTTTTTGACAGTTTTGCGTACCTTAATTTTTTTACCTTTTCGCAAAAAGGCGCAATTTCAAATGTGCAAATATTTGATATTAACTCAATACAGTTTTACCTTTTAGATTTAGTCATAAAATATTTTTTGGTGCACGGATACTGATTTTTGTGTGTTTTATCAATTGAATTGTGTATTTTTATCGGTTTAATATTAATTTGAGCAACATTTGCGCAATTATCGCAGGGCCTACAAATTTAGTATCACCATATTTTTATTCTATCGGGTCTGCGCTTTCAGAAAATATATGGTTTGGGGGGGTCTTCTACAAACACTAGCAACGCCGCAGTTGAAAATCAAATCAATGGGAAAAATTTCAAAAATGGCGTGGCCAGCTGAATTGAAAAATGTTCCCGAGGGCTTGGCAGGGAAAGGGTTAAAAGGACTCCCTTAAAGAGAGCAGGATAACGGGAATAACAGTCACTTTATTAGGGTGAGAGGAGGATACACTATTGGTAGTGTAGCCCAATGTTTAAGAAACTACACAGGAAAAAGATAGAGAGCTGCTTAGAAACAGAAAACAGCCGTTTTAGCCTGTTTCCACTCCACACAGCAAGTTATCAAATTGCTGATGACTGAGAAATGCAGTCCCAGCACTAAACAGGAAGCTCTCATTACAGAGGCTTCCTGCTCATTCATAAGGTGAGCAGATAGTAAATATTTACTATGTCCCCATTCATAAATAAAAAGGAAGTGATGTATAACACTTCATTTTCATTCATAACTGGGGGCATAGTAAGCTTACTATGTCTTCAGTTATTAACACTCAGCACTTGGGCTCCTGACAGCTCTCTCCTCCCTGATCCCCGCTGCCTCTGCGGCTGAAATTTCTGTGCATCCCAAGTCTGAACCGCTGTAAGGTTACCACAATCTACCCAGTGGGTAGATTGATCTCTTCTTGCTGTCCTGATGACTGGTGTCAATGGGACATAAGGTAAACATAATATTGGCAAAATCAATTTGGAGAGGTCTCCCCTTGCATAATATTAAAGGTGGTCAAATCCCCAAGCACATAAGCAAGAAATCTACTACAGTTCCAACACTCAGTTGGGTGGGGGTAGTGGGATTAAAGATTCACTTTCCAAGAAAGCAACAGGGAAATAGGTTAGCTAGAACAACCTAACCATCCCAACCTTATCTTAAGATGCAGCCCAAAACTCTGCCCAAACTATAGTCAAACTAGCCCTAGTGACATCCTACACCAACCGTAATCGATAGATATATATCTAGATATAGATCTAGATATATATAGGAGCTGCATAAAATGCCAGTTAATAATAATAATAAATAGGTACAATAAAAATGACTTACTCCTCATGTCATTCTTCAATACCACAATTCTTTTATGGCCGTGTCCCTTAATCCAGACCACCTTAAAAAACACAGACATCAAAAGACATATTTATAAATGTATCTTGCTTCCCATACAATAGGCAAGTAAAACCATGCAAATTTTTTTAACTTTACATAAAAACAAAAAAAGTTAGTAGTGCAGATTTACAATGGTACATAAAATTAACAGAACCGCACTTAAATTACCTGTGCAATTGCCCCCAACATCTCCTCCAAGCTGTTAAAACCATACTGCCTGGGCTCAAGTACTTCACCAACATATTTGCTGTATGCAGTAGTGAACTCGTGCAGGAAGATCTGCTGATAGTGATAGGTATGCAGCAATGAACGCACATTCTTTGCAAACAGGTAAAGTACTGTCAGCTGTATGCATTCCGTGTCATTATTGGTATATACCTGCCGGAAAAATGAAAAAATTTAGGCGCTGCCAGCAAGACTTTTACAGCCACTGTTCAAAGGGATTAAAAAACTAAATATTCTTACCTCAACTAAATAAGGCAGGCTTTTTAGGAGGTCAGTTAAGGACACAAAACCATATTCACATGGATTGAGCGTTATTCCATGGACATTTTCGTATATATGGCACAGCTGGCCAACAGTAAGTGGTAATGGCTCATCCCATGACATAAGCAAAATAAGGAGCTGTGCAGTTAAAGAGCGCAGAGACTTCCTATTGATTAGCTGGATTTGCTTCCCAGAGACCGTGTCTGCAACCTTAAAAAAAAAACCAAAAAAAAAAACCAAGAGTATGAAACTGCCTCTGCCCAATAAAGCACTTTTAATTACTGCTACCAACTAAATCGCATACAAAGTAAAAAAAAGTTATCAAAATCAATATATCCCACGCCAAGTGTGTGTGTGCAACAACACCGAAATATAATTATTGACAAAATAAAAATAAATGGAGGTATCGTGCTAAAAACAAAAAAATTAACACTGCAAAAGGATAAAGTAATACTTAACTCAGGAGTTAAATCTTAAAAATGCATTCAAGTACCTTAACTATTAACAAGAATGTATCTTATTTGTGTGTCACTTGGCTGTGGATTCTCAAATCTCTGAATTGGCGCCGACACCGTCCTTCCGTCTGGATACTGGTGGCTGCTTTTGCTCCCCATGGTCCCTGTGTGTGTTCTAAAGAAGCCACCGCTTTAAGCTCACTCACGTGATGGACTACAATCACAATACAAATTAGTAAACTAAATGTGGGATTGTAGTCCATCATGGGAGCAAGCTTGGAGTGGTGAACACTTTTCAACACACACAGGGACAATGGAGAACAAAAAGTAGCTACCCTTTAAAAGAAGGGACAGTGTCAGCACAAATTCAGAGATGATTTGAGGATTACAGCTTACTGATACAGAAATAAAATACATTGTTATTAATAGTTATGGTCCTTGGAGTTTTAAGATTTAACTCCTGAGTTTAGGGTCACTTAAACATATCAGCCTCAGTTTTTTGCGGGCCTGTGGCTGGGAAAGGATTCTTACACCATCACCAGGCAAGTTTCCCAGCTCTCACTTGGATCAGAAGGGTTGACTTTCTACAGACACCGCTGTGAACAGACACCGCTGTGATAAGAGTAGTCATGCCAGTCAACAGAATAGAGAGTTAAAAGCAATAATTAAGAAATGCAGTAGGACAGGCATGCTCATTAATTGCAACTCAAATAACCAGTTACCTTAACAACATGGCACAGTTTTTGCATTAGTGCCAGTACAGAGCTGACATCATAGTCATGAAGCCTCAGACTGTAACCAAATGTCTTGCTATATTCAGTAAGCAAGTCAGGAATCATTAAAGAGGTGTCTTTTTGAGAGCGCAGCAGTTTAACAAGTTGGGAAGCTAAAGCTTTGATACGCTCCATTTCAGTCAGGGTCAAAATCTTTTCCTCACCACACTCTAAAACCTATAAAATGATCAAAGCAGAAAATTCAGACGCCCCACTCTTGAATACAGTCAAGGGCAGTCACATAGCACATGTTAATCTAGATAAATTCATGCAAAATCCTAATATTTGACATGTCTGGCAAAGATGCAGAAAAACACAAAGGGGGGAATTTATCGAGAGGAGAGGGGAGGAGAGGGGGAGAGAGAGAGAGAAAGAGACTGCAGTCCAAATCTGCTCCAGTTTTATAAATTCCCCCCAAAGAAATTTATTGAAAGGAAACAAAAATTACCAGAACCACCACCACAACAGGAAGACCAATTGGTTAAAACCACATCATCACATGAATGCTCTATGCTATCCCCATGAGCAATAATTTCAGTGTATTTCCTGCCTGATGATCTGAGGTTGGTACAATCAACCATCCAAACAGTATTTCAGAGTAGGGCAGATTGTTACCGCCTCAGATTTGTGTCAGCGAAGATAATGAGATTTTAAGGCTATATAAACAGTTTAAAGCATAATGCCAAAGCAAAAAGCAAACGCATACACAATGAAAATGACATTATAGCATACTAAAGTTTTAAACACCTTGCTTTGTGTTGTCTGCCTTCAATGTCACATAGTGACAAGAAAGGGGAAAAAAAAATGCTTCCATACAGTTCACTGACGTGATATGTGACAAGGCAAGTGAAGTAAACCTCAACTATAACAGCAACATAACTTGGAAATGCTGTATTTTCTTCATATCAAGATTCTTAACTAAAATGATAAGTACATATGACAAAGTATAAACTGTACGTACTTGTAAGACATCAGGTATGGCTTCAAAAAGGTCAAGCAGTTTGGTGAAGCCATAATATGTCAGTTTGCACTGGCGACCAAAGTGGTGGTGATAGGACGGAATAAACTTATTAAATGCCATTCTGAAATGAGGTTGGTGACGCAAAAGGTCAACTACTTCCTTGGCAAACTGTTTTGTCCTTTCAATCTCTTCTGGAGTACGTTCTACAAAAAAATAGATAAGCAAATTCTAAATTCCAAGCTATACAGATATGCCAAAGCGGTAAAGGAGAATATTAACAGTAAAAAAACTGGAAGCAATTCAGGATAGCAGCAGATCAAAAAGTTGTCAGGACGCAAGGGAAATATTTATAAACTCTGGCAAGGGTTCTAAGCTTTCCCCCCACTCTTTCCAAAACCAGAAAAAACAAAAACAACAAAAAAAAAACGCTTTTGGCTTGACCAACACTTTAAAAAGGGATTTGTATTAACCAATGGATTCAGTTTTATGATCATATACAATGAAGTATTGTTATTTCATGGTTTATTTTTAGTTATTAGATGCAATATATTGAAAGGATCATGTGTTTGTGCCATACTATATAGGATTTACTATTATCTTATGTGAATAATCTTGGTGGTGTTTGTACTATAGGTTTGTTTACTCCAATTTCATATACAGTAACTGTCAGTTTAATTGCATATACAGACATTCCTCGTTTAACGACCTACCTGTTTGACTGCTCGGACTTACGACTGAGGTGTGCTTTTCAGACTTACGACCGAATTCGGACTTGCGACCCCACGGCGCACAGTTCAGACGCAGTAACAAGAGTGGCATTGCGGCCTATGGTGGCTTCTTCTACTGCTACAATACAGTACAGCCTATGGTGACTTCTACTGCTATATTGATTCTATGCAAAAAAATCTGATTTCTGGGTAAGTACTATGCAGTATACTGCCTACAGTATACTGCATAGTACTTACCCAGGAATCAGATTTTTATATACAGTACTGTATGGCTAGTACACACACTGCCCTTTTACTATCGAGCGAACAACAAGGCATGGATGACAAGCTTTATTTGAAGATTGGTTCATTAACTGCTTTACACCCTTGGTGAAGCATTACGGTCTGGAAAACGACATTCCCTTTAAAATTATCCTTCTGCTTGATAATGCTCCAGGCCACCCGCAGCATCTTGATGATCTACACCCAGATGTAAAAGGTAGGGTATCTGCCTAAAAACACAACTGCTATCTTACAGCCCATGGACCAGTGGGCTATAGCTACCTTCAAAGCAAACTACTTGCGCGCAACTTTTTCCAAAGCTGTAGCAGCAACAGAAAACAATGAAGTAACCCTTCATGATTTCTGGAAATCATACAACATTTTAGAGTGCATTAAGAATATTGCATCAGCTTAGGAAGGAGTGACAGAAAAGTGTATGCAAGGCATATGGAAAAAATGTCAATCTTTTTGTGAATACATCAGAAGCATTTGACAAAGATGAACATGTTAATCTTCTAAACAAAACTGTGGAACTTGCTAACGTGCTTAATTTTGAGGTTGAACTGCAAGATATTAAATACTTAGTGGAATGTACTGAGGGAGAGCTAAGTACGGAAGATTTAAAAGAGTTGGAAGCACAGCAACACTTCGAAGAGGAGGCAGAAGAGGAAAGAATTTAAGTAGTATCAAACAACTTCCCTGCAAAGGGATTAGTGGGTGTGCTCTCAAAAGTGAATGCAGCTACACTATATTACCAAAAGTATTGGGACACTTGTCTTTACACGCACATGAACTTTAATGGCATCCCAGTCTTCGTCCGTAGGGTTCAATATTGAGTTGGCCCATCCTTTGCAGCTATAAACAGCATCAACTCTTCTGGGAAAGCTGTCCACATAGTTTAGGAGTGTGTCTATGGGAATGTTTGACCATTCTTCGAGAAGCGCATTTGTGAGGTCAGGTACCGATGTTGGACGAGAAGGCCTGGCTCGCAGTCTCCGCTCTAATTCATCCCAAAGGTGTTCTATCGGGTCGAGGTCGAGGTCAGGACTCTGTGCAGGCCAGTCAAGTTCCTCCACCCCAAAACGCGCTCATTCATGTATTTAGGGACCTTGCTTTGTGCAGTGGTGCACAGTCAGGTTGGAACAGGAAGGGGCCATCCTCAAACAGTTCCCACAAAGTTGGTAGCATGAAATTGGCACAATGCAGTCAGGCATGTACCGTTCTCCTGGCAACTGCCAAACCCAGGTACGTCCATCAGGTTGCCCGACAGAGAAGTGTGATTCGTCACTCAAGAGAACACGCCTCCACTTTTCTAGAGTCCAGTGACGGCGTGCTTTACACCACTGCATCCGACGCTTGCATTTCACTTGGTGATTCAAAGCTTGGATGCAGCTGCTCGGCCATGGAAACCCATTCCATGAAGCTCTCTATGCACTGTTGTTGTGCCAGTCTGAAGGCCACACAAAGTTAGGAGGTCTGTAGCTATTGACTATGCAGACAGTTGGCGACTTCTGCACACTGTGCACTACAGCATGTGTTGACCCCGCTCTGTCATTTTATGTGGCCTCCCACTTGGTGGCTGAGTTGCTGTTGTTCCCAGTTGCTTCCACTTTGTTATAATACTACTAACAGTTGACCGCGGAATATTTAGTAGCAAGGAATTTCACGGAACACCTGAATCCAATGATTTGGAGGGGTGCCAATACTTTTGGTAATATAGTGTATGTTAGAACTAGAAGCTATTTATCCAAATCTTGAACGGTTCACAAAAGTAGAACATCAAATGAGTGAACTTTTACAATGCGATCGTGAAATTTATGAAGCAAAAACAAAACAAAAAACAGACCACACTAATGAGATTTTTCGCGAAAGCTACACCCAGGACCCCTATTACTAGTTCTTTCATTTCTACTTCATCATCTCCCTTACCTGGGCCTTCTACATCTCCTGATCAGAATTCCAAAGATGACACTGACAATACCCTTTTAGGATTCAAAGACTAAAATGTTAGCTTGCATTCATGTCTCATCAGGGCTGCATGTGGGGCTCTCCAGGGCTGTGCCGGTCTTGGGAAGGGGGAAGAGGAGGTGTGGCCGGACCGGCACTGCCAAACAGCTACTGGGAGGTCCCCAGCAGGCTGCCTGAGGTCCCCAGCAAGCGTGGGACTTCAGGCAGCCAAACTCATTTAAAAATTGAAAGCGGCAGTATGTAACAGGGCATTTTCACAAGTACTTGTGAAAATGCCCAGTATCGGTATCTGTGCATCCCTAATACTTACATTTCTTCACAGGTTCTTTTTAATGCAGAGTTTCAGAGGGAGAGAAGTTCCAAGTCCGGAAGGGGAGAACTCAGGCAGGCCTGACCACACTGATTGTAATTTCAATTTTCAATGCAGCAGAATAGAAAGACATCTGCACTGATCACTGTGCACTTGCAGCGTTTTCAAAGAAAGACAAAACATAGGGAAATGTGCATCTGTTGAGAAGATGTTCAGAACAGCTTTTGCTATTTTCTTTTACTTTTCACCAGGCATACAGCTTTAATAACTATTGATTTTTTTCCTTGCCAACCTATGGATTTCCTGATCAAACCAAAACGGACAGGCAAATCCGTTAAGCCGACCAGATGCAAATTCAGTAACAAAATCTTTGTAAATTTGTGAACATTCCCACATCTATCTTGTTTGTCTGCCACCATAAGCTCCAAGCTCTTTAAAATCTTGCTAGTGCCTTCATATTCAAATGAAAAATCTCAAAATACATTTCTCTAATTGAACCATACTGCTCCCAGAGTGTATCCATATAAAATGTTTTTAATACCTCTTTTAGGAGTGGAGATTACAATCTCATTGTCTTGCTGAGTAACACATATTGTGGTATCAGGTATCTCTGATACAATATCCACAAGCTCACACACTCCATATTCTGTAATATCCCAGTCTCTTGAAAAGCACCTGAAAATTGAAAAAAAAATGATATTCAACCCAAAAGAAAAACAATGACAGAGAAAAAACAGGCCTTACAAAGCACATAAAATACAGATGCCAATAAGTCAAAAAACAGACCAACTTCATATGGAGAGCTATGGGACCATTTACAATAGAACCTTAAGTTATGGTCCAGCTGTTTCTTATAAAATACACTGGCCACCTGGCTTGCTTAACTTATCAAGCTCTATATATCAGAGATATTAACCATAAATAAAATTCTCTAGTTGCTCATTGTTGGACACAGAACCTTACTCTTTAATGTGTAGGTATCAGCCGTTGTATAGCTGAAATTAGCCTTACAGCGTTCGGCTCACTTTACTTCGGTCGTTTATTCACCTCGGCTGCCTTTGGCAGCTTTGTGAATAACCCCCCTCAGTGTATCCTCTTATAGAAACTATTGCATATGCTAGAGAAGGATAGATAGCAGGTGTGTGTGAGAGAGTGATTGTGGCAGCCTCTGTTTTTGTATGTTTTTTTTTTTTAACCAGTAACTAGTTAGATTTTTCTGATTCTTGTAAAACCAATAGCTGTAAAAGTTTGTAAACACACGAAAACCACAAACTCATCTAGATATGGTTGTGCTGGAGACCCTCTACAGCCCTGTTCCGCAAATGGCGAACGGCGGTTTGGACACAGACCGAGCAGCTGTTCTGTCTGAACCGCGGTCACCAATGAACCCGGTGTTCCCCTGTGCAGTCATTGGTTGCTAGGACCACTGCGTCTGTTGTCCACCGTGCACTGGAGGAAGGAAGAGTATCTTTCATCCTCTTCAGCCGCCCATAGTAAGCTCCGCTTTCTCGCATCTGGGAACCTCCCATCTCCACCTCCCAGTTCCACCCCAGCTCCTCCTCTTGTCTTTGACACCTGGATCCCTGCTCTGCCTTCAGACTACACAAGGTACCAAGAGTAAGGACACAGTACTATAGGTCTAAGGAGAATACTATAAAGGGGCATTCTCAGGGCCCGTTCACACCAATGTGGTTGAATTGCGGTCAGGAGTTGCATTTGGGGTTCCATTCAAATGAATGGCAACTCAATGCACCTACCGCACTGCAAAACAGGGTAGGCGCATTGTGCAGTAGTGTACATGTGTCAATTGCACTGTATTGGTGTGAAAGGACCAGCTGCAGTGCAGCTGCTGGTGTGAATGTAGCCTAAATGGTGAACTGCAGTCCAGAAACAGCGGAATGGCAGGTTTGTCTGGACTGAGATTCGGACCTCGGCTCAATGAAAATTTTGCTCACCGTACCTCCTTGAATCTTAATTTACTACCCCTGCTCTACAGGGATTCTTCTACAACAACAAAGTCTAGCTTTGTGAAGTGCGCTAGAGAGAAATCCTTTCAGCCCTAACAAAGTGTGCGAATGGCAATCTCCATAGGATGAACAGGAACCAGACAGAAGTAGGGAAGAGTATAATATGTTCCAATTAAAGTGGAAAGAAAGGTAGACCCCCTTAGTGTATCCTCTTATAGAAACCATTGCATGTGCTAGAGAAGGATAGATAGCAGGAGTGTGTGTTTGTGGCACCCTCACACACATCTACGCACCAACATCGCAATCAACCCAAGGTTAATCCAGATAAAGTGTGGTACAAAACACGTCAATATAAAAAAAAAAAAAAAAAAAAAAAAAAGTTATTGCTTCCTGTGTTATTACACATACAGTCCAAAATCGATATATATTTTTTACATTTAGAAACATATTCCATCTTTTAAAAAAAAAAAAAAAAAAAAAAAAAAAAAGATATTGCTTCCTGTGTTATTACACATACAGTCCAAAATCGATATATATTTTTTACATTTAGAAACATATTCCATCTTTGAAACAATCTATAAATGTTAGCTAAAACTAACTTTTGGCTCAAATCCAAAATTATTGCAGCTCTTACGGTAAAGAACCTTTTTCATACGCAGGAGGTTAAAGGTGAATTACCGTCATCCCCACAGTTAGAGCCAACGTGCGACATTGAAACGGTCATACGTCGACTCTGTTGATCGGGAAGTGAGCAAAAACAACGCTGCTAGCTCACTTCCTGATCATCTCCCTGCAGAGAGCAGTGACTGACCCACAGGAATTCTCTCCCCATCGATCCTCCAGCACTGACTGGAGGGACAGAAGGGTGAGGGGGCAGGCATAGTGGGCTCTTCCTCTAGATAGGCAGAGCCCGCTGTCAAACTGCCAGCGGGGTGGATTTAGACAGTATTCTCTGGAACCTTCCCAGCTGTGGCGCTCTCAGCATACAGCCTGCTATACACAGAGTTCTGGGTCATGGGAGGACATTCGTATATGTCTTCACATAGCCCTAAAATATAGTACAATGGGGGAAAAAAATGTTACCTCATAGTTTTCTTTTAACTGCCTCCAGGGCGGCCGTAGTAAAAAAAAAAACGGCCGGCCCGGAGCTCTCTAGATCTGAGCAGGCGTCTTTAGACGTCCGCTCAGACACGCTCCCTCGCACGCGCCGCTGGGCGGGCGGGAAATGGCCGCAATTTAAAAACAGGCAGCAGTGCCTGTTAACATACAATTGATCCGCCGGCTGTAGAGCCGGCGGATCGCTTTTATTTTGCAACGAT